ATCGGTTGGGAGAAGAAAAGAAATCCACCTTATAACTCATGTGGGCTACTCCACCCTTTGTCATTTGGTTTTGGGTTGGAACCTCATTTGGGCTTGGTGGTGTGGGCTTGGGCTCGGTCAATTCGCTCATTATTTTCCCTACACATTATTTAAAAGTTGACTATCTTTATGAACGACCTAATTTAAAGGATCGACATGCTGAGAATACTCTTTTTTTTTTTTTTTTTTTTTGTTTATTTACAACATGTTTTGATTTCTGTTTTGTATATTCTTTAGTTGATTTTGTGGGCTAATTTGTGAATTCCTCCCAACATGGATGTATGTATGTAGGACAATGGTCTAGAGGCAAAACTATAGGAAAAAAAGGTACGTTTAGTTGGTCTTCTGGGGCGTCGTACGAAGGTAATTTCAAGTGGATTCATGGATAATGAAGGTTCCTAAAGGGGGCCTAATGGAGATACATATAGGGTTCTTGGGTGATAAATTTAAAACATGGCCATGGTATTAAAGAATATGCTAATGGTGACACCGTTATAGTTATGATGGTGAACGGAGTCGTGAGTTGCAAGAAGGACATGGGAAATATCAATTGAAGAATGAGAATTGTTACACTAGGCAATGGAAAAATGGAAAGATTGTAGGAAAGAGAATATATGTTTGGTAGCCCTTAATTGTAAAAAACTATAGCCTTTAATTGTAAAAAACTATGTTTTGTATAGTATTTTTTGGAAAATGTGTGGTATCCTTCTGAATCCTTATTAGAAGAAAATCTTGAATCGAGTCCACAAGAGGGTTTCAATACTGATTTGAAGGATTGCATAATTTATCCGAATGTGAATATTTTTATATAGCCATCTCAAAAGACGCTTGTAGTTTGGAGGTCATCCAATTGCACGGATTCAAGTGTAAGGCCAAGAAGAATGTTGGTTGATGGTAGAATAGATGCAAGGATAGATAGGGAGTTTGGTAGAATGCATTTATCGGATGGTGATGTTCCCTCTTCAAATAGTGCTAGTGCCATAGAACGGATAAGAATGACGGAAAATGAAGGTGATGATGTGTTGGCAGGTTTACAGCATGACAGTTTAAGTATTCGAGGCAACCCTCTTAGGATACCTAGAATGGTAAAAAGACAAGGGGAGACAATATGTAAACGACATAGGAATTATGATCTTATGCTCAATTTGTAGTTGGGAATTAAGTAATAATACGTGTCTCATGTTTCATTTTGGCTAATTAGCACAAAACGTCCCTACCTTTGAGGTTGATTTCGGAAACCGTCCCTACTGTTCATTTCTTGGCATTTATGCCCTTACCTTCAACATTTTTGTGTGCTGAACATCCTTTTCACATATTTTTGACGATTTTACCCCTTATTCAAATAAAACAAAAATAAAAGAAAAGAAAAACTAAAAAATTAATTGCAACTATAACCCTAAATTTTTAAAACCTACTTTTCAATCTCCCTCTCCCTTCTCGTTCACCTCCCTCCGCCTTCTCCACTCGGCCGCCGCCAATTGAACCTCTAGAAAATCAGAAGATACTCAACCCAACCCATGGGTCTGATGTCATCATTGGACTTTTTGATACGGGAATATGACTTGAGCACAGGAGCCTCTCGGATCTGAATCTGGGCCCTGTTCCAGAACGCTGGAAGGGAGTGTGTAATACTGGGGTTAAATTCACAGCTAAGAATTGTAACAGAAAATCATTGGAGTGAGGTTTTTCTCTAATGGCCATGAAGCCTCATCTAGCTTTGGTGGAATTGCTGGCGGAATTAATCAAACCATTGAGTTTAAATCCCTAAGAGACGCTGACGGCCATGGAACTCACACAGCGTTGACTGCTGCTGGAAGGCATGCATTTAAGGCCAGCATGGAAGGCTATGCCTCTGGAATTGCTAAAGGGATGGCACCAAAAGCAAGGTTGGCTGTTTATAAAGTTTACTGGAAGAATTCCGCTGCTTTGATTTCGATATTCTGGCGGCATTTGACGCGGCTGTTAATGATGGAGTTGATGTCATTTCCATTGCCATTGGTGGTGGGGACGGAATCTCTTCTCCATATTATCTCGATCTGATTGCTATCGGAGCATATGGTGCGGTTTCTAGAGGTATATTTGTTTCATCTTCAGCTGGAAATGATGGGAGTAATGGAATGTCAGTGACTAACTTGGCGCCATGGCTGACAACTGTTGGTGGTGGCACAATTGATCGGGATTTCCCAGCCGACGTAATTCTTGGCAACGAAAGGAAAATCAGGGGTGCTCTCTGATTCACCCTGTATGGAAAATTCAATTGATCCTAGTTTAGTGAGGTAAAATTGTGATTTGTGATCGAGGGAGTAGTCCTCGAGTTGCGAAAGGCTTGGTTGTTAAGAAGGCTGGTGGTGTAGGAATGATCCTTGCTAATGGCGGTGGCGGCGGGGTGGAGGAGGCGGGGTGAAGTGAAGGAGAAGGGAGAGATAGTGAGTGAAAAGTAGGTTTTAAAAATTTGGGGTTATCATTATAATTAATTCTTTAGTTTCTCTTTTCTTTTCTTTTTGTTTCAATTGAATGGAGGGTAACATCGTCAAAAAGTTGTGAAAAGGACGTTCAGCGCACAA